CCAGCCCTCACCCCAGGAAGTGGGTGCATGTGAGCTCGGAGAGGGCTCCCTGCTGGGGAAGAGGAGGTGTTGTCAGGAGATGCGGTGATTTAGGATGCAGCCATCCAGACCGGAAGCAGGAAGAACAAGATCCCAGCTCTGTTCTCACACTTAGGATCTCAGCACTCAGGAGGCTGAGGCAGGAGGATCACCACAAGTCTGAGGCCAGCGTGAACTACATAGCAAAACCCTGTCTCAGAAAACCAAAACCAAAACAAATGACAGCAACAACAAAAAACCCCCAGAAATAATGACTGAAAAGTATTCCTTTGTGGGAATAGGAAGGGATTATCATCAGGGAAGGAAGGAGATGTAGTCTTCAGCTTCCTATGCACTATTACTACTAAAATGAAGGTTAGAATGTGGGTGTCCGTGATGGGCTTGTCCATCTTTTTTTGTGTGTGATAAGGTCTCACTACATAGTTCAGGCTGGCCTTGAACTTGCTATATGGCCCAGGCTTGAATTCAAGGTGATCCTCCTGCCTCAGCCTCCTAAATGCTGAGATTACAGGCATGCAGCACCCACCTGGCCATTGTCTTAATTTTTTTGTATGCCTGAAATATTTCACAGTAAGTTAAGCAGTAGACTAAGCTCTAATGCAGTGATACCAGAAGGATTATAAAGAAAAATAACTGTGCAGCTCAGTGTCAGCCACTTTTGTCCTGTATCATTCATGGCAGGTTGCAGTGGCATGCTGTCCTTGGATTCCTGCTTTTGGAAAGGTGTCTTAGCACCTGGCCCTTTGCCTGCAGCGTTTTCTGTATAATTTGTCGCTTTCCCCCTGCAGCTCCATTTTCAGGAGTTCCATCCAGCGTTCTGCGGGCTGGGCCTACCTGCTGGGGCTGCTGGATCACATCCTTTTCTCCACTGCTGCTGCTCCTTGTGCCCCAGCTCTCTGGGTTATTTTTAGGTGGAGCAACTGGATGTGGGTGCCACTCACATTTAATAAGCTAGGGGAGAGAGCTCTGTCTGCAGAGTGGACTCCTGGCTTCGGGTGCACGACCCAGCCCATTGCTGCCCCGCTTGCAAGTAAAAGTAATGGTCCAAGGGCCAGGGATTTAGCTCAGTGGCACTGTGCCTGCCTTGAAAGTGCAAGGTCCTGAGTTCGATCCCTGGTACCAGGAAAAAAATAAGGGAACAGTCCAGTAATTTGAAATTTTCTTTAAAAGTCAGAAGTTTAAGCTGGGCATGGTAGCTCATGTATGTAATCCCAGCACTTAGGAGGCTGAGGCAGGAGGACAGCCTTGAATTCTAAGCCAACACAGACTGCATAATGAGTTTGTGGCCAGCCTGAGCTACATAGTGAGACCTTGGATCAAAAAAAAAAAAGAAACAAAACAAAAACCGCCAAAACATGATATTGTATCCCCATTTACCTTACGCAGCAGATCTGGCCGCAGGTGACTTCTAGCTCTTCCCAAAGTCAAAATGACAATGAAAGGTAAATGTATTATTATTATTTTTTTTTGTTTTGTTTTGTTTTTTGAGACAGGGTCTCACTATGTAGTTCAGACTGCTCTGGAACTCACTGTGTAGCCCAGGCTGGTCTCAACCTTGCAGCGATTCTCCTGCCTCCGCCTTCCCAGTGCTGGGATTACAAGTGTGCACTACCACGCCCGGCTAAAGATAAATGTATTGAATGGATTCAGGACATTGAGGGAGCCACAATGGCATAACTAGACAGCCATGGAAGATTTACAGTACTGCTTCAGAAAGTGGCAAGAACTGGTCATGGTGGTCCATGCTTGTAATCCCAGCAGAGAAGGCTAAGGCAGGAGGATCGCTTCGAATTTGATTCCAGCCTAGGCTACATAGTGAGTTCATGACCAGCCTGTGCTACATAGCAAGCCCTAGTTTCAGAAAAAAACCAAACCAAACAAAAGAAAGTGGCAAGAATGCTAAGTATGTTTGGACTGAAGGCAGGATTTTGAGGGGGATTCATGGTAATGTGTCCTTTACTGTAATTTAGAATTAGTCCAGATATTCACCTTATTTTTTTATCAGTGCATATGATTTCAGTTATATGAATGAGCTGGAAAGCACAAATCCATGAAGACCGAGAGGAGATGAGTGGTTTGCCAGTTCGGGAAGAGGAAGAAAATGGGGTGTGGCCACTGCTGACCCCAGGAGGTCGCAGTGAGTGATGGGGTGATGGGGTGATGGTCGTACCGGTTGGCAGGAGTATGGAAGTCACCAGGTTGTACACTTAAAACAGGTGAATTTTATGCTGCATAAATTGCACATCCACGAAGTCGTTAGAAATAGTGCTTTCGGTCTTAGCTTGGTAGAGAAAATACCCTGTGGGTGTTGGGGTGCTAGCGTGACAAAGGGCTTCAAGATACCAGCACCCAGGGCAAGAGACGGGTAATGGTGAGCCCAAGGTTTGTGGCTTCTCTTGTGAGCATTGGTTGATTTTGCCTAGAAAGAAAGCTCTGTTCTGACCCACTGGTCTGGATTCTGACGTTTGTCTCTGAGATGAACCCACAGTGCAAACTGGCAAAGCCACATACAACACAAAGAACGTGTGTGCTCCTGTAGGGGGTGTCAGGTGCACCACTGTCCGCTGGAAGCCGATTCAGCGGGGTGTTGGTCAGCTTTTCATCGCTGAGGCGGGCGGTGGAACCACTGAGCTAAATCCCGGCCCAGCTTTTCATTGCTGAAATAAAACACTTGGCATTTTGAAAAGGATGAAAGGTTTATTTTGGCTTACAGTTTCAGAAGTTTCGGTCCATGGTCATCTGCTCTAAGGCAGGAACTATCTGGGCAGAAGGGCCTGGTGGAGTAAAACTGCTTCCATTTCTTTTTTTTTTTCCCCCCCTTGGTTTTTTTTCTCAGAGGATTGAACTCAAGACCTTGCCACTGAGCTAAACCCTCGGCCCTTTAAAACTGCTTCCTTCATGGCCACTGGGAAGCAGAGAGAGCAAGAGAACCAGGGAGGGCTGAGTGTGGTGATGCACGCCTGTAATCTCAACACCGCAGAGGCTGAAGCCGGAGGATCCCAAGTGTGAGCCCAGTTTGGGAAACTTGAGAGACTTAGGAAAAACCTATCTCAAAGTAGGAATTAAAGGGTGAGGAGAGCTGTAGCTCAGTGGTAGAGCTCTCGCCTGGCTTGTGTAAGGTCCTGGGTTCATCCCCAGTACCAAGATGAATAAATAAATAGGGCCGGGCTGTAGCTCAGTGTGAAAGTCCTGGGTTCAGTCCCCAGTACTTGGGGGAGAAAGACTGAGGAGGGGCTGGGGACAGGATGTGTCCTTCCAAGATACCCCCCCAGAGACCCCCCTCCCTCCTGACAGCCCACTCAGCTGTGACCCCGACAGTGGGTGTCACGCTCTGGCGTCACCTCTGATGCTGCTGCATTTCTTATGGAACCCGTGAGTTCACTTTCAGGGTTCACCTTAGATTTTAGCCATAACAAGGGGCTCCAGAAAAAGCAGCAGGGCTCCGCCTTCACTTCCCTCTCTGCCTCGCTTTCCTCAGGTTTTCAGGCCAAGTCTCACTTTACCTGGGCCCCCATCTTGGTGCCTTCCACCTGTGGGCACAGCCGGATGTCGTGGCGCTCACCTGTGATCCCAGCCCCTGGGAAGGCTGAGGCAGGAGATTCATGAGGGCAGGGTCCGCCTGGGCGTTGAGGGAAGACTTTCTCAAAGTAAAGAAGCGCTGGGGTATAGCTCCGTGGTGGAGTGCTTACCTAGGGGGTGCAAGGTCCTGGGTTTGATTCTCCAGTACCACAGACAAATAGGAGAGAAAAGCAAGCAGGCAAGCTTAGTGGCACAGGGTTTCTCTTCTCGGCAGCCTGTTGCCAGCCCCTCACTGACTTCCACTGGTTCCAAACTCGCCACCTTACATTGGGCAGCTGGGGGAGGCAGGAGGCTGATGGGTCCTGGGGGGCCGGGCCGGTGTTCTGGACAGAAGTGGGGAGATGTGGCTCTCCAGAGAAGCCGGGGATGCAGAGACAAGAGGAACACGCCAGAAACGCTGACGTCTGGCTGCCCGGTGTTTGGCAGAGGCCGGTGTGGGGCTGGCGGAGGACTCGGCGGGGGCTGAGCCCTCACAGCACGGGCCGTGTGCAGGTGCAGCGGGGGACAGCGACGGGTCCTCTCCACCTGCTGGAGCCCAGGGACGGCGCTGTAATGTGGTGCGGCTGCCGTGGGAGCAGGGTAGTGGTTCCTGCCGAGCTACACAGAATCACTGCGTGGCCAGCCAGTTCCCCCACAGGTGTGGACCTGAAGGAAAGAAAAGGACGGGAGGCAGATCTGTGTGCATCATGTGCAGAGCAGCATTATTCACACAAGCCAGAAAGTGGAGCAGCGCGTGAGGGGCGAACTGTGGCATAGCAGTGTGGCGGGGTACGGTGCAGCTCTCAAAAGGAAGCAGAGTCTGACGCCTGCTCAGTGTGGAAGGGAACCTGGCGCGTTGTGCTGAGTGATAAATTACCGCTTTCCAGACGGACACATGCTCCTGAGCCCCTCAGATGCCATCCTGAAGGAGTTTCTCAGAGTCAGAGGACAGACTGTGGCTGTCGGTTCACGGGAGAGGGAGCAGGCACTGTTGGACGGGTTCATCATCTCGGGGAGAGCGTGAAGGGAACTTTTGGAGATGGGTGGGGTGAGGCTTTGCAGCAGGGTGACTGCCTAATGCCACTCATTGTACACTCACAGCAGTAAAGATGGTCAGCTCTGTGGTTTTGTCACGACACAGAGAGCTGGGCGTGGTGGTACTCAGGAGGGTGAGGCAGGTGGATCTCTGTGAGTTTGAGGCCAGCCTGGGCTATATAGTGACTTCAGGGTCAGCCTGAATTACACAGAGAGACGTTGTTGCCCCCCACCCCATAAAAAGGAACTGGGTGTGGTAGGGCACACCTGTAATCCTGGCTATTCTGGAGGCTGAGGCAGGAGGATCACAAGTTTGAGCCCAGGATGGGCAGCTTAGCACTCAGTGAGCTGCTGTCTCGGGGTGGTAGATGGTGGTGGTGGTGGCAGCAGTGGTGAAGGTGAGGGTTGGGGATGGAGCTCAGTGTAGAGACTCCGAGTTCAATTCCCAGAGCCGCCAAGATACACAAAACAACAAGAAAAAGAGCCGCCTGGAGGAAGGGAAGGCTCTACCGGAGCAATCAGCAAGCTTTCCTGTGCCGCTTGAAGCTGGCCTGGGTATAGGTGAGGGGACCCCGGGGCCAGGCCTCCCCCGCTTCCCACAGTCAGAGAGGAGCTGGCGCGCGCGTCTGGAGGCAGAGCCGGGCGCCACTCGCAGTCGCGGTCGCCAGTGAGTTGGAAGCGGCCGCAGCGTCCAGCAGTGGGGTTGCTTAGATCACCTGGGACTTTTGTGGCTGACTCACTGTCCAGGAGCAAGAAAGACTTAGGCGCTGTAGGGCAGAAGCTGTAGCTCCGACAGTGGGATTCCGGGTGAAAGGACTTCTTCCTCAGGCAGCAGAGAGCGGGCAGCAGCAGGAGTGAGGGTCCAGCCAGCTGTTGCTGGGTAGAACAGCGCTGACTTCAGCTCAGGGCCTCACGGTTCGGTGGGCAGTGAGGCTGTGCTTTATGATGTTCCGAGTCTCAGCTGGGAGACTCCACTGGCTGGGGTAACTCACGTGACTGGGGCTGGAGTCCACGGATCTCCCTGCGCTCTGAGGTGTGTCCCTAACCCTTGTTGATTTATTTTATTTTTGAAAATTTGAAACAGGATCTCACTAAGTCACTAAGTTGCCCAGGCTGGGTTTGAATTTATGATCCTCCTGCCTTGGCCTCTCAGACTGCTGGGATGATAGGTGTGCACCACTGTGCCTACTTGGGAGGTTTTTATGTACACATTGAGTGCTGGCTGCAGCGACAGGATTTGATGGGAATGCCCTGCTCGTGACTTCTTTGCTTTGTCACAGCATCACCTCTTGGGATGGTTTGATCTTTTGCTGCCAAGAGTTAATATACCTGCACATAAGGTGGAAGCTATATGGCCTTTTGTGACTTCTCAGAAGTTGTATGGTAGTAGTGGACACCTGTAATCCCAGCACTCAGGAGGCTGAGGCAGGAGGATTGCTGTAAGACTGTCTGAAAAAACAAAGCTGTGTGGAGTCACTTCGCCATATTCTGCTGGTCAAATTAGTCACAAGCCTACTTAGATTTAAGGGGAAGGAACAGAGATTATCCACTGTCTATTAAGAATTGTGCTGAAGAATAAGTCACTGTGTTTAAACCCATCACAAGTGGTAGCTCTGTTTGCTGGGGGAGGCAACAGTGGACTCTGCCATTTCCATCGTGCGGCTTCCAGCTCTGTTTTTAGGATAAATGGACCCATTGTTGCTGTACCCCAGCCTGGGAAGGGGAATGCAGGGAAAGCAGTTGCATATGGCTGGCAGTGGCTCAATACTTGCACCCATTGGTGCGCTGGCATCTTGTTAGGTAACTCTTGGCGCTACTGTTACTCCTAGCTGCAAGGGAAGCTGGGAAATGTAGTCTGTAGCTGGAAGGGATACTGGTAAATGTAGTCCTTATCTGGACAGCCATTACCCAGCCACAACTTGGAGGGGTCATGTTACTGAAAGAAAACAAGAGATGCTCAGTATTAGGACAATTGCTTTTTGTAAAAGTATGTCTTTTTTGGGCCAGGGATTTAGCTCAGTGGTGCCACTGCCTGAGTTCGACCCCAGCACCAAAAAAAAAAAAAAAAAAAAAAAAAAAAGCACTCCGAGACCATAATGTTAAGTGAAACAAATCAGACACACAAGTTTACATATTGCATAACTTTTCTTATTTGAGAAGCTCACGGTATAAATAATTAAAAATGACAAAAGATAGTAGTAGGACACAGGGAGATAGATCTTCTGTAGATTGGAAAGCAATCCAGAAATGGAGGGGTAGGGGAGCAGAGAGGAGGGGAAGGAGAACAAAAAGAATTAACATGTGTTAAAGTATGTTAAGTACATGTACCACCACCCTAAGATGAATGTAAACATTATGCACTACAAAAAATATTAATAACAAAGTTTAAAAAAATAATTCTGAAGACTCACACCAAACTAATTGCCAAAATATGACTGAGTTGGATAAAAGGGGGATGTTACATCATCCGTGTTGTTTTAATTGTGACGAATGTTTGCAGGTATAATTTATACACATTCTGAAAAAATGACTTGTACTAAGAATAAAACCCGTGAGGAACCGATGCTGCTGTCTCCAGCCCCACGTTAAGAGTTTTTCTTAGTGAACAGGCAGCAGTGTCACAGGGCACTACACCGAGATGGACGTCAGGAGCCTGGGGCTGGTGTGCTCTGCACAGTGGGTTTCAGTAAGTGTTTGTTGAATTAAAAAGAAAGAAAGAAAAAGAAAAGAGAAAAGAAATGGGTCTGAAGGGAATTTAGACGTCCAGGAGGGAGGACCGGTTACAAAGTTGTAGCCGCTCAAAATACCTAAGTCTAGCCCACTGCTCAGCAGGTGCCTGGTGGTGACTACTGAGTTACACAGTTAACAGTTTGCCAGGAGGGTAGATATTATGTTACTTGTTCTCATTACACAGAAGTAAATAGTAATAAAGGAGGCAGGGGAAACACTTGGAGGTGGTGGGTGGGTTTACTGGTGATGGTGAGGTTGTACTTAGCTCCAAACTTACCGCGTTATGTGCATTAAATGGTAGGGCTCGCAGCTTGCTGTATGTCAGTCATTCCTCAATAAAAGCACATTTGTGTGTGTGCGTGGGTGGGTGGGTAGGTGTGTGGGCACCCTGGGAGCTGAACCCAGGGCCTTGCACATGCTAAGCATAAAATATTTTTGTTTTTTAAGCAACACACTGCTAGGTGTGGTGATGCACACCTGTAATCCCAGCCCTGGAGGCTGAGGCAGGAGGGTCGCTGTGAGCTGGAGGCTAGTTTGGGCCTGTCTCAAAAAACAAAACAAAAAACCCTCAAACAAAACCCACTCCACAAACAGATTTATAGAGTACAGCCTGGAAGAAAATGTAGAAAAAAGACTGGAAGGAAAAATTGGTAGCAAAGGTTGTTTCTAGGGAAGAGGAGGAAGATGGGTTCCTAGTATTTTTGAAGTGGATGTTAGCTGTGGCTGTAGTGTTTGAATTTTTAACAAGGGTGCTGTCTTAGCTCTGTTTTATTTTATTTATTATTTTTAGACAGGGTTTCACTATGTAGTTGAGACTGACCTGGAACTCACTATGTAGTCCAGGCTGGTCTTGAACTCACAGCGATCCTCCTGCCTCAGCCTCCCGAGTGCTGGGATTACAGGGGTGCGCCACCACACCCAGCTCAAGTGTGCTGTCTTAATGTTTTACTTGTGACATTAAATATTCACATCCTCCCCACCCCAGAAGGACTTGCTGCGCACCTGACAGCTGCTTCTGCAGCCCTTCTTGTCTTTTTGTGCTAGAACTAACTACCCCTGAAGGGAGGTTGTGCTTCCCTCTATCTCCCCAGACTCTTATCCCAAGGCCCCACCTTCCCTGTCCTCCCCCTGTGGACCTGGAGGATTTTTTTTGTTATCAACAGATAGTTTTTAAATTTTGGGTTTTTGAGACAGGGTCTTGCTATGTAGTTCAGGCTGGCCTTGAACTCATGTAGGCTAGGCTGGCCTCTTCCTGCCTCAGCCTCTCAAGGGCTGGGATTACAGGTGTGTGTCCCCATACTCGGCATTTTATTTTTAATTATTTATTTATTTGTCATTGTGGTACTGGAGATTGAATCTAGCAAGTGTTCTGAAACTGAGCTACACCCCCAGCCCTTTTTATTTTTTGAGTCAGGGTCTTACTAAGTTGTTCAAACTGGATTTGAACTTATAATCCTCCTGTCTCAGCCCAAGTGGCTGTGGTTACAGGTGTGCTCTAATGTGCCTGGCTCACAACAGTGTTTTTGTCAGAAGAGGGCTGTCAGCACTGAAGAATTCAAAAGTGATTCGAAGGGCCGGAGATTTAGCTCAGCGGTTCGATGGCCTGCCTTGCAAGTGCAAGGACCTGAGTTCAATCTCCGGTACCAAAAAAAAAAAAAAAAAAAAGTGATTCAATAGTCTCTCTTCATACAGTTAACAGCATTTTATGTATTTATTTATTTTTGGTGCTGGGGATTGACCAGGACCTTGAGAATGGTAGGCAAGTGCTCTACCACTGAACTATACTCTCTGCCCTGGGTGAAAGTAGAAAGTGGGTGACTGCCGGGTGTGGTGATCTTTCGGACAGGAGGATCTATGGAGAGCTCACCTTGATCCTCCTGCCTCAGCCTCCCGGGTGCTGGGGTTACAGGTATGCACCACCGCACCCGAGACCTTGTTTCAGCAAGTGTTCAATCCCTAGCAAACGAAAACAAGCAGCAGTCCATGAAAGAGTCCAGGCACAGTTCTTTGTTGAAGGAGACTAGAGATACTGGCTGTACTATAACCGCAAAACCGAATGGGACCCAGGGCCTGGAGGCAAACTGTAAAAGAGACAACGGAGTGTGAATTGTGGGAATGGTGCCTGAAGTCCCAGCGCTGCAAGTTTCGATGCTGGGTATTTGACAGCTGCATCTGGACATGAAAGAGATACACTGTTCCCAGCGTATTGGAGAGGCCTGCTGGCTACAGCCACCCCTGGGTTACACAGAATGGGCAGAGCTTTTTGGTGAAAAGCCAAATAGTGGAGACTTTAAACTTTGGGGCCATATGGTCTCTGTCAAAACCCGTGCCCAGGCAGCCCCAGGCCTTGTGTAAAGTGGGCGTGGCTATGCCGGCAACACCGGCATGGAGGCTGCCACCCCATGCATGTGTCCTTTTCACACGACACGAAATATTCTGATTTCTTTCAGCCCAGTGAAACCCATTTCCATCTTCCTGTCCATGCAAGATTAGATAGCTAGATTTAGAGAGTGGGCTGTGCTTTATTGCTGCCTGATCTAGGAAAAGACACACACTCTGGAGATCAGTAACTACAGCAAGCAGTTGGTGAATCTGGGGGAAGAGTATAGAGGAGTTCTCTGTACCCTTCTTATAATTCGGCGGGATTGCAATTATTATAAAACTGCGAGGTATGAGGTATGGAGGCACACGCCTGTAATCCTCGTCCTCTGGGAGGCTGAGGCTGGAGGATTGAAAGTTCAGGCTCAGCCTAGGCAATTTAGCATCTTAGCTAGGAAGGTGGTTCAGTGTGAAGAACCTGAGTTCAATCTTCAGTACTGAAAAAAAAAAATCAAAATAGAAGCAGAGCACGATGTTCCTCCGTGGGGGGCCAGCGGGGAGGGGGAAGCTGTGACTGCATTTTCCAGTCAGATGGGCAGTGACTCACTCAGCCGACCTTGGCTGTTGCTCCTTATTGTCATCTGCCCACTTGATTGTCTTCACTTCTTCCCCATTCTTCCTCTGGTTTAATTAAATTTTTGTTTTGTCTTGAGAGACAAGATCTTGCTAAATTGGCTGTGTTTCCTGGGCCGGCCTTGAACTCGTGATCCTTCTGCTTCAGCCTCCTGTGCGAAACCATGTCCGGCTCGTTTAGCTTTCTTATCTAGGGACCCTGCGCACCACGGGTGAGGGTTTGGGCTCTGTCCTCACTGTCTGACTCCACCCCCCCTTTTTTGGTACTGGGGATTGAACTCAGGACTTGTGCTTTTAAGGCAGGTGGTGTCACCACTGAGCTTCATCCTTGGCCCTGACCTCCCCTTTTCTCTCCCTCTGGTAAACACGCTTCTCTACCAGCTGAGAAACCAGCTGTTTTATGCATGTCCCCTGGCCTAGTGATTTTTATTTTTTTATTTTTTTGGTACTGGGGATCGAACTTGGGACCTTGCGCTTGCGATCCAGGCAGTGGCACCACTGAGCTAAATCCCCAGCCATTGGCCTAGTGATTTTAATTTCACGTTCTTCTTCCCCTCACCTCTAGAGGTGTTATTTTTTTGGCAGGTGTGCTGTGCAACAGTTCAAGAATGAAGTTTTCCGTTCTCCCGGCATCGGGATAGAATGCCTTCTTGTGGTCCCACATGGTTATTTCCAAGAATGGGATGTTCTTGAGAGAGTTGATGGAGCAGTTCTGTCTGGGATAGGGAGGGTGGCCTAAGAGAAGAGAGGGAAGAAGTATGCGCTTTTCCTACAACTCTTCATTCCCTGGATTGAAAACTCAACGCAAAGGGAACAGGAAGTGAAAAGGAAGCCATCAGTTTCTATAACAGAGCAGCGGACAGCCTGCCAATCAGACTCAACAAGAGTAAGAGCTGAAATCCATCTTGCTATACTAAGATACCTGGGACCGGTATCTTAGCTCATGGCTTTGGAGGGTGAAGAGTCCAAGCTCAGGGCACATCTGGCAGGGGCCTCAGGCTGTGTCCCACGGTGGCAGCCTGTGGGCATCTATAGGTGCGTGCACAAGAGGTCAGCTTGAGCGGGGCCCACGGGGAGGTGCCAAGGTTGCTTCTAACAAGCCATTCTCAGGAGTACTAACCCAGCCCCATGAGTCCCGGGGGCAGGAGGCCCTTGCAGAGGTGCTGCTCCTGTGACCATAATTACCTCCTACTCAGTCCCATTTCTTAAAGGCCCCACCCCCACTCTGTTCCATTACATGGGGACCAAGCTTCCAGTATACGAACCTTTGGGAAACCATATCCAAGCTATAACATATGCTGTAAGAATTCTGTCTAATTCTGTTTTCCTGCCTGGCTTCATGGATAACAAGGCTGCCCCTACTCATAACAGCCCAAGGGGAACTTTTATAAGATTACAAAACCCAGCAGAAAAGAGCATTTGGGAATCAGGCCTTCTAGCCAGAGTTCCAGGACTGACTCTCACTGGTCGGCAGGAGCCATGTGTTCAGGTTTGAACCAATCAGCTGCCAGGGAGCTGGAGGATTCTGATTGCTCAGTCTGAATCCTATGACTACCTTGAAAGGGGGACCTCCAACTTCATCCAAAACCGTTTGGATTCAAGAACTGGCAAAGTTGGGCGTGGTGGCGCACGCTGGTAATCCCAGCACTTGAGAGTCTGAGGCAGGAGGATCGCTGTGAGTTTGAGACCAGCCTGGGCTACATAGTAAGTTCCAGGTCAGTCTCAACTACATAGTGAGACCCTGTCTCAAAATCCAAAAAAAAAAAACTGGCAAGAGGTGCATCCTCGATGATGTATGTAATTGGTTGCTGTTCCCAGCAGGTTAAAGACTTGGATGTTCGGTCAGGCTGCCTTCCTCAATTTCTGTCCTAATTTTCAGGCACGTCCTTGGAGGTTGTATTATTTTAGCCATCAGCCTATGACCTCTGGCATGCTTCCCCTGACCCGTTCGTGTTCTCCCATCCCCTTCCTTCAGGAGACTCACAGGATCTACAGACAGAAGTTGGAGGAACTGACCGCCTTACAGACCCTGTGTAGCGGGTCCATCAACAAACAGAAGAAGCGCCTCAAGGACTTGCGGCTGGAGCTCCAAAGGTAGGTGAGGCTGAAACTTGAAGGAGTCCGAGAAGTACTGAGCAGTGTCCTCAGCCTGTTTTTTATTTTTATTTTTCCTGTGTTACGATTGAACTCATGCCCACTCTACCGCTAAACTGCTCCTAGCCCTTTTGTTTATTTTGAGATAGAGTCTTGCTGTGTAAGTTGCCCAGGGTGGCCTTAAACTCATGACTGTCCTACCTTAGCCACTTGGCTGCCACCTTTTTTTGTTTTGTTTTGTTTTGTTTTTTGAGTCAGGGTCTTGCTATGTAGTTCAGGTTGGTCTTGAACTCAGTGTACAGCACAGGCTGGCCTCGAACTGGTGGAAACCCTCCTCTTCAGCCTCCTGAGTGCTGGTGTTATGGGTGGCCTAAGGCTCCTTTGCTTTTGTTTTGTTTTCCAGTTCAGGGGATTGAACTCAGGACCTTGAACTTGCAAGGCAGGTGCAGCACCACTGAGCTAAATCCCTGGTCTGCAAGGCTCCTTTGGTTTTAAGGGACCAGAACCCAATTTAAAACTGGTTTAAGCAAAGAATGGAAATTTTAATGGAAAAAAACAGGAATAGTTTCAGGCATCACTGGATCCAGGGGTCAAAGGCTGTTTGTAGAAGTTGTTTTTTTCCTCTCATTTCTGCCTTCCTCTAGTTTGGCTTCATTTCATGCTGTCTCCTCCTGGTTACCAACGTGGCCTTGTGCAGTGCCACATCCTGTCCACCAGCTTCCTAGTGGTATTGCTACCCAGATAAAAGGCAAACTGCTTGTTTCCTTGTCTAGACTTCCACATACTTCTCTATCCTCTAAAATTCAGGCTCTTTAGAATAGGTTTTTTTTGTTTGTTTTTTGAGACAGGGTCTCACTATAGTTCAGGCTGGCTTTGAACTCACTGTGTAGCCTAGTTTGGCCTGAACTCATGGTGATCCTCCTGCCTCAGCCTCCCAAGTGCTGGGATTACAGGCCCTTCCTTTAGAATAGTGAGGAAAAACAATAGTTTTGCCAGCCAATACCCATTGCGCTTCTGCTGTGTGCCAGGTATTTTTCCAGATTCGTCCTGCTGTGTTTACTCAGGTCTTCCTCACAGGCTCTTCTCAGGAAGGTAGGCCTGATGGTAACCCTGGAAAACACAGAAGAGAGATTCAAGGACTTTGCCAAGATCACAAGGCTCCAGGGAGTCAGGCACATGCCCAGAGGATACAGAACAGAAGCTGCAGCTGGGCGTGGTGGTGTAGACCTATACTTCCAGCACTCTGGGAGGATGAGGCAGGAAGATCTCAAGTTCAAGCCCAGCCTGGGTAATTGAGTGAGATCATATCTCGGGGACATAGCCCCGTGTGGCATCCATGGGTACAATCCTCAGCCCTCATAGAAACAAAAACACACAGAACTAAGGTGTGGGCTGGGTTGGGTAAGCTGAGGGTGAGGAGCTGGCGGCCCAGACCCTTCGTCCATCTGAGTGGCACTGCTCCCTTTGCCTCTCCCCTAACCATAGGTACAAGCGCCATGCAGGTCGGGAGGAGGTGGAGCTGGTCCAGCAGATGGGCGCACACATCAAGGAGCGGCAGAACGTCTTCTTTGACATGGAGGCCTACCTGCCCAAGAAGAATGGGTAGGAATGAGAGCCCTGGGGCCTGAGGTGGGCAGGTGGTGAGGGGAGTGCAGGTCGAAGGAGGAGGATACTCCCCCATGAGTTCTTCCAGCGGCTGTGACCGCCCGAGAGGACTCATCCGAGGGGCCAGCCCCCGCGCACCACCTGGGGTCCAGTGGAAGGTGTGCTCTCCTGGGAGAACCGAGCCGAGCCCAGTGCCTGCTGTGCAGCCCCCAGCACTGTGCTGGCAGCTCCCATGATGCCGGTCACTTATCCTCAGCCTCCCATTTTCACAGGGTTTGGAGATGAGTGAGCTTCTGTCCTGGGGGCTCGGCCCAGGCATGAGTTAGGTGGCAGTCATTTTCTACTCTTTTACAGTATTGCACAGACCCACCCGCTTCTCTGGCTGACTCTTTGTGATTTTACACCAGCCATTAATCTTTATGTTACAAATGATACAGTGTCAAACTCAAAGTTGTAAAAGAAAAGAAATGGAGGACTCATTGGCTCCTGCAACTAAAAAGCCCATATATAGCTTCAGTTTTGGCTGAATCTTGCTGCTCAAATGATACTGTTAGGAACTCTCATATAGCTTTCTTTTTCTTTTCTTTTCTTTTTTTTTTTTTTTTTTTTTTTTTTTTTTTTTTTTTGGTACTGAGGATTGAACTCAGGACCTTGTGCTTTCAAGGCAGGTGTGGTGCCACTGAGCTAAATCCCCGGTCCTTAACATATTTTCTTTTCTTTGTCTTTTTTTAAAAAATTTTCTTTTCTAATGTATACATTTCAATCTTAGACTTTATAAACTTTATAAATCGCCCCCACCTGTTCTGCCTGCTTAGTAATTCTAGTAAGCAGTTATTGGAAGAGTCCCAGGGCTGATTCTCTTTGGCCTAGATTGTGTCACGTGACCATTCATCAGTCAGGTGGCTGTACTCCTTTGATTGAGTTATGGTCATGTGCCTTCCCTTTGGGACTGAGACTGGGAGTCACATGATCATTCTTAAACCAATCAGAAAGACACTCTGCTTTGATTGGATGAGCCATGGTCATGTGCCTGCCTCTGTGGCTTAGTTGAGAGGTGTGATTCTCTGAAGAGACCTGTGCTGCCCCTATAGGAAATGGGGATTGATTTCTTCTCTATACTTCTGCTCCAGTTCTAGCAGACTGGAAATGCTCTGAAAATCCAATTGCAGCTAGAGAAAAAAAAAAGCCCTTCCATTTTTTTTTTTTCCTCTCTTCAAACGTCTACTTATTCTTCCAAAGCCAATTCATATGTCACCACCTCAGCGCAGTCTTTCTAAACCTCTGCTCCTCTGGAGTTTATCCTTCCTCCCTGAGGTGCTACAGCCCTTTCTTTGCACTTTTGTTAGTGCAAGCGTCTTACCATGAATAATTCTTGCCGTTTCCTATGGAAGCTAGACACACACATACACAAGGACCCAGAAATTCCACTCCTGAGTAGTTACTGATGAAATGAATTTTCCGTTTTCCAGGAGAGGAGTATGAGACCGCTCACAGCGGATCAGCCAGACACCAAAGACAGCGTTGTATGATTGATTGTGTTTCTATGAAGTGTCCAGAACAGGCAAATCCCTGGGGAAAGAGAGTAGGTGCAGGGTTGCGGGGTTGGTGGGGGGACGGGGACGACGACTTTAGTGGGCGTGGGGTTCTTTTTGAATGATGGAAATGTTCTGAAATTAGGTAATGGTGATGGTTGCACCACATTGCAAATATATTAGAAACCATTAGATTGTGTACTTTAAAAGGCTAAATTTTATGGCAGGTGAATTATACCTCAGTTTTATTTTTTTCAGAAAGCATGTTCACAGCCAAAAACTGAAAACACATGGATAAGTCTGGAGGACGTTATGCCCAGTGAGATAAGCCAGATACAGAAAGAAACACACTGCATGATCTCATTTATATGTAGACTCCAAAAAGGGTGAAAATCGAATATACAAAAAAGAGGAGAGCAAAGAATTGTCACCAGTGGCAGGGGACTGGGGCAGATGGGGAGATGAGGAGGACAAACTCGCAGTGTGTGGGATGAAAAAGTCTAGAAATCTAGTGTTTAGCATGAGGACTCTGGTTAGGAATTGTAGTCTTGCATATTGAAAATTTGCTAAAAGTAGATTTTTTTTATACTTGATATTGAACCCAAGAGCCTTTGAGCTCATCTATATTTCCAGCCCTTTTTTGTGTTTTGATTTTTGTGGTACCAGGGATTGAACTCAGGACCTTGTGCTCTGTACTTGTGAGGCAGGCGGCTGAAGCACTGAGCTGAATACCTGGGCCATCCAGCCCTTTTTAAAATTTAAAAGTTTTTGTTTTCGTTTTTTGTTTGTGGCAGGGTCTCACTATTTAGTTTGTCGGGCTCATACACCCTATGTCTGCCTCATAAAGATAATCTCAGCAAGTACCTACAGAGAAACAACAACTAAAGAACAGAAACTGATACAAGCTAAATACTTAGGAGCAGGAGAACCAAATCAGTGATAGTCATTTTACTCAGTGGAATACTGTCCTCCACAGCAAAGGAGGAGGCAGAGGGAATGTGTGTCAGGGGTTCTGCTCCCAGTGTACCCCCAATGGAGAGCTGCCAGGCATGAAAGAGTCCACAGAAGCTCAGAAAAAGGCAAAACAAGCCAGGCCTCATGGCACTTGCAGCACTTGGGAGGCTGGGGCAGGAGGATCATCATGAGTTCAAGACTGTTCTGGGCTCCACAGTGAGTTCAAAGCCAGCCTGAACTGCATAGGCAGACCCTGTCTCAAAAAAAGATAAGTAAAAAAATCATGATGTTCGTGCTTAAGACATGTACTTGGGAAGGTTATGCCTAATGGTTTTTAATTTTTGTGATAGCAAAGTTATATTTATTAAGATAGTAAAACAGATTCTGTGGAATGAATTTGGGCCAACTAAACAGTAGGAGAGTACACTCTATGCTGTGAGGGTGGACCACCATGCAAAGCAACACAGTGGCCAAGCCTTTGTTTTATTTATTTGTTTATTTAGGTTCTTCTAGAGATGGAGTCTTGCTATGTAATTCAAGATGACCTTGAACTCACTATGTAGCCCAGGCAGGGCTCATATGGCAATCCTCCTGCCTCAGTCTTCCAGATTATAGGCACACACCACCACCACGTCTGATTTATGCCTTAATTTTATCTTATTTATTTAGATTTATATAGTACCAGGAATAGAACTCAGGACCTCCTGCTTGCCAAGGAGGCACTGTACTGCTTAGGTACATCCCTGGCCCTATGTCTTAATTTTAAAAAGCATCCTATTTATTTATTTATATATTTTGTACCGGGGATCGAATTCAGGACCTTGTGCTCGCGAGGCAGGTGGTGGAACCACTAAGTCCCCGGCCCAGGAGCATCCTTTTTAAATTGACCTGGAGACCACACCTCTGCCTTTGCTGCATTGGCTGGAATTAGTCACGTGCCACATGGGGCTGCAGAGGAGGCTGGGAATAGGGTTGTGAGTCCGCTTCCGTGGGGAAGTGGGTTCCTGACACCATTGTGCACACTGTTGCCAGTTTCTCTAGTTAATCACTGTTGCCCCTTGATGGTTGGCCGCCTGTGTAATGTCCTGTTTTCTGATGTTGGTGCTTGGCACACTCGCTGGTGTGAGTCGGTTTGACTGGACGTGCTCCTGGGGCCTCCCTGTGTCCCTCACAGCTTTGTCTTTCTAGGATCTACTTAAACCTGGTCCTCGGCAATGTGAATGTGACCCTGCTCAGCAACCAGGCCAAGTATGTACCCCTGTCTGTCCAGGGTCCCGGGGGCACCTGCCCCTCAGGGAAGATGGGCCCAAGCTAGGGTTTGTGCAGAAAGCAGAATACATTAGCGCATGGGGCTCTGGGTTTTGGTCTTTCTAGCCCCGTCCTCCTCAGTGAGTAGATCACTGGGGGAACTTTCCTTCCTTTGTGTGTGTGTGTGGTACCAGGAATGGAACTCAGGACCTATGCTTTCGAGTCAGGCGCTGCACCACTGAGCTAAATCCCCAGCCCTTCCTTTTTGCTTTTGTGGTGCTGGGGATTGAACTCAGGACCTCACGCTTGCTAGGCAAGTGCTCTATAGCTGAGCTGTACCCTCAACCCTCTCCTTCCATCCTCCCCAGGGTCACTGCGGTGGCCAGAGTTCCCTCTTACCAGGCATGTTCTGTTCCATGCATGTCACAGCATTTCTCACAGGAAGCGGGGCCTCCTGTCCACCCGTGTCAGTCCATGTCCTGGTGACTGTGACCCCTGGGGTTTGATTTTGGTTGTGGGAAGGGGGTCCAGAGGCTCCAGATCCTGCTGCAGAATTCAGGGAGAGGGGACCTTTTGTAATTGATCCTCTTTCCCTCTTGGTTGTCACTCATTCACGGCCTGGTCTCTCAGCAGGATGGCAGGTCCTTTGGGGTAGGGCAGGAGCACTAAGCCCGGGGTGGACAGGGCTGGGATCCTGAGCCTGGGCAGGGGAACAGAGTGTGTGACCTTCCTGGGCGTCTTTCATGACAGGTTTGCCTACAAGGACGAGTATGAGAAGTTCAAGCTCTACCTGACCATAATCCTGCTCCTGGGGGCTGTGGCCTGTCGCTTCGTCCTTCACTACAGGTAGGGGCGCGTGGGGCACGGGGAGGAGGCCGGGGGGCTCTTGTGCTCCTGTGGTGTTGCTGTGGGAGGCATGGTTCAGAAGGACCAGCTCCCTGGGAAGTGGTGGGAAAGAGCCTCTGTGCAGGGAGCATTATCCTGCCATAAGACAGATGCAGCACCAACCCATGCTATAGCAGAAGGACAGGAAGCAGCTTGCTGAGACCAGGAAGCTGCGTGTAAAAGGCCACATGTATAATTCCAAGCACGTGAGATTTAAGAGCAGGAAAATCCATGGAGACAGAGTAGCTCAGCAAGGAGAGAGTGTTTGTATGTTACAGTTTCTTTCATTTTTTATTTTTTGAGCCAGGGTTTCACTATATAGTTCATACTGAGCTTGAACTCACTATATAGCCCAGGCTGACCTTGAACTCACAGTGATCCTCCTGCCTCATCCTCCCGAGTGCTGCCGTGCTTGGCTCAGAATTTCTTTGGAGTGATGAACATATTCTGGAATTAGGTAATGGTTATTTACACAATTCTGTTAACACAGTCCATCTGTATACTTTAAAAGGGTGAGTTTTATCTGGCATTGTGGCACATACCTATAATCTGAGCAGTCTGGGAGGCTGAGACAGGACAATCACAAGTCTGAGCCCAGCATAGGCAGTTTAGGGGCTAGGGATCTAGCTCAGTGGCACCTGTGTCATAAGTTCAAGGTCCTGAGTTTGATGCCAGTACCAAAAAATAAACAAATAAAAAGACCAAGCTCATAGCGCATGTGAAGGCTCTGGGCTCAATCCCTAGTACTGCAGCAAAAAAAAGAAAATGTAAATTTTGTCTTATGTGAATTATATCTCAATTATTAAAAAGAAAAGAAAGAGCAAGAGCGAGCCCAGGCTGCTGGCTTTAAGCCCTGGCCTTGAGACAGTCTGTCGTGAAGGGCAGGTCCCTGTGGGAACCTCTGCCTACCGTCTTTCCGTAAGCAGAGGTGACGGTGCAGTGTGGTCCAACTGTGTCCTCGTGGGGCCAAGCTCTGAGGGGGCCAAGAAGCCGCGGAGTCGCACTGCTCCCCCTGGCCTGCGTTTCCTGCCCCACGGGAGGCTGAGGCGTCTGGCTCAGGCATGTGGCCTGCGTGTCTGAGAGCTGGTGGTGCTCAGCTGAGCGTCCCAGCAAGGATCTGCTGCGCCAGCCAGCTGCCTGGGCCTGGCCTGCTTCCCCAGGGCAGAGGCTGCACTCGCCAGCACGGGCTGCTTGTGTGCATCTCCGGAAAGGCTTGAGAGTTGCTGGCGCGGCCATGGTCCAACCTGCACTGTGCTGTCACGTGCTCAGCATCAGGCACCCTCTCCCCTTTCCCTTGGCTGCCCTAACAAAGTGACACTTATTTGGGGGCTTAAAACAACGGTATATTATCTCAGTCCTGGAGGCCGGAAGTCAGAAAACAAGGTACTAGCAAGCCTCGAATGATGGGACTTGCGTATAATCCCAGCACTCTGGGAGGCTGAGGCAGGAGGATCTCAAGATGGATCTCAGCCTGGGCAATTTAGAGAAATAGTGACATCCCCGGCACCTGCACTATCTTACCCAAGTCCCATGGCCTCTGATTTTCTCAGCAGTAGGCTTCCGAGCCTCCTCATTCCAACTCTGGCCAGTGTGGCAGTTCTGGAGTTAGAATGGGAACACAGGCAGCTTCATAGTGCTGGGGGCGCTGTCCCGGGGCCTCTGTTTGTGAAACTTGATGCTGCCCACAGCAGCCCCGCTTGGCAGGTGCCTTTGCTCCTCACTCTGTGGGTGCCAAGTGTTGGCTTGGGAGAGTAACTCGCTTGTTTATGGTCCCACAGCTGGGAACAGGCTGCCCGCTCCCAGACTCAGGATTTGAACATGGGCCCTGGGGTTCCCGAACCCTCTCTGGATTCTTCCAGGCCCAATGTCTGTCCATTGGCTGAGGGCAACTGTCCCCAACCACAAGGCACAGTCAGTAGCCTCAGAGGTGTCTCCTGGTGTCTTCTGTGGTTGAAGCTGTTCTCCTCTCCCACCCAGGGCTGTCACAGTGGGGTCCCCATTTTGTGGGCTCAGGGACCTGGCTTTCTCCTGTCCTTTCTGTGTAGACAGCTCCTACCTGTGCTGTCCCTTCTCCTCCCAGGCTGGAGGGTCCAGGTGACACTAGGAGGTGCAGGGGACCAGCCCACTGGTGTCAAGGGCACCTTGGAGAGAGGGGTGTGTGTGTCACTATCTTCAGCGCTTGCAGGGAGTCAGCTTCCCAGTTAAAGACAGAAAGCTGAGGCGGGTGGGTCTCTGGACAAGTCTGCCTATCTCAGCCCGGAAGGCCCTATCTGCCTAGCTACCCCTCACCCCAGTACTGAGGATTGAACCCCGGGCCTTTGCACAAAACTACATCCCCAACCTTTTAAAAAATATTTTAAAATTTGAGACAGCTTCTCACTAAGTTGTCCAAGCTGGGCTTGAACTTGGATCTTCCTGCTCAGCCTAGCTGTGGCCACTGCAACAGGGGAGCTGGAATTGGTTCTTGCATTAGCTTCACAGCCTGTGTGGGTTTCATCTGCATAACAGTTTGCTGCTGGGTAACAGGGATGGGGGAGTGCGCACCTTAGACCTACAAACAGCCTCACAGGAAGTAGTAAGTTTCCCATTCTTCAAGGCCTGCGTCTGCTGAGGTGGTGCACACCTGTATCTTAGCACTGAGGAGGCTGAGGCAGGAGGATCACTATGAGTTCCAGGCCAGCCTGAACTACATGAAACCATGTCTTAAAAAAACCAAAAAATAAAACTAAGGAACAAATAGGGCCATCTTGCCAGAGGCTTTGGGAGAGCCAGGCTGCCCTGGGCTGAGTGGGCCGGGGCTGAGTGTGCCTCAGCCAGAGCCGGGAGTGCAGGTGGGCTGGGCGTCATGGTGGGCGAGGAGCTGCCTGCCTGGGGGATCCTAGCTGATTCCGGACGTGGCCCCTGTGGTCGTGTTGAGGGAGCCAGGCGGCTGTCCTTGCTTCTTACACGGTTCCCCCCAGGGTAACAGATGAAGTCTTCAACTTCCTGCTGGTATGGTATTACTGCACCCTGACCATCCGCGAGAGCATCCTCATCAGCAACGGCTCCAGGTAACTGGGAGCCTGGTGTGGGCGGGGCCAAGGGCGCCACAGGGCATCCCAGAGGGATGGTGCCTGCAACCTTCCTTCCTTTTCTCCCTGGGGCCCATGACTGTTCAGACACAGGAGGAGGGAAATTCTGATGCTGTTGGTGCACTCTCCTTCCTGATGCCAAGCAAAAGAGACCCTAACTCAACTGATTTAGCATAACAGCAAATGTGTTATTAAAAACAAAACAAAACAGATTAATTGGGACCAACTTCAGGTAAGGCTTGATCCAGGTGTTTAGAAGAGGTTATCAAGACCCAGTTTCTCTCTGTCTCTTATCTCTGACTTCTGCTGCATTATCTTTATCCTCAAGCTCATGTCTTCATGCCTAGCAAATGAGGCACATTTCTCTTGGCTGAGGATCTCACCGGCTGGGTCCCCTAGGTTGTGTCCAGCTACTGTCTGGGTGGCTCACTTGTGTATGTCTGAATCAGCCTCTGTCACCAGTGCACATGGCCAGGCGTAAGCCTCACACACTCCCTTAGCTGTCAGGAGTGGATCAGAAGCTTCTGGAATGGTTCCCCAGGGAACACTGGGATATTGGTACCAGAAGGGTGGATAGATTTGGGGGACAAAGGGGAAGGGTGGACAGGTAGCTGAGATGGAAGACTCCTGGTCCCAGCCCCAATCTCTCACTGAGCAGCTCCATGACCCTAGGCTGTCTCGGAGCCATTGTATCACTGTAGCTGAATGGATGCAGGTGCCGTTCTGTTTCCCCATCTCTGGAAGGCTCTGAGTTCAAGAAGCTCCACAATTTTCTCTCCATCTCCTTTCCATACTGCCTGTGCCCAAGATGGGTCTTGGGACCCAGTTAAGACCTCATCCTGGTACGAAGTTCAGGGATCTGGCTTCCATCCCCAGCAAGTTGGAAAGAAATAAAGATGCCTGACTTGCGACCCTGAGGAGAATAAGGATCAGCCGACAGCTGTGTATTCAAGATTGGGGAGTTGGCCGGGCGTGGTGTTGCACGCCTGTGATCCCAGTACTGTGGGAAGCTGAGGCAGGAGGATCACAAGTTTGAGCCCAGCCTGGGCAACTTAGTGAGAACCTGTCTCAAAATTTAAAAATAGGCTGGGGGTGTAGCTCAGGGCAAAGGCTCTGTGTTCAACCCCTAGTGTTGAAAAATAAACTACAAGCATCCAACAGAGACTGTCCTTGGCTGAGTCAAGAGGAGAGGGCCCCCTGCAAAGCTGTGTCCTCCACGGTTATGTCATGTGGGCTTTGCCCTGGTGTCATCTAAAACTTAGCTCAGTGTTTCACAAGCCCAAGGTCCCGAGTTCGATCCCCAGTACCAAAATATAAATAAGTAAGGGGAAAGCCTTAGCAGATAACCAACATGCACAGCTTCCCTTCATCTTGGAGGAAACAGCATTGTCTCCTTGGGGTGTGGTTAGGGGGAAGCCCGGTAACATCCGGGGGGCAACGGGGCCAAGGGAGTAGTCGATGCATCCTTACCACTCCCTGAACCCCGCCTGTCTTGGGCTTTCACCCTCCTGCTGGACTCTGTCTGATCCGGGGCACTGTTCGTCTCGATGAGTCGTTCATACTTCAGCAAGAGTTACTCTAGGCAGCTTTGTTTGTAAAGTATTTGGTGCTGTGGGTACAGGGTGGTTACAGAGAGGAGGAGGCAGGACAGAGAGGATCCCTGAGTGGGGGTCAGCAGGGTGCCAAGGGGAGGGAAGGTGTAGCCAGAGCCTCGCTTGCCAGTCTGTAGGAATGGCCGTCTCAGGTCTGCTGCAGAGCTCTCTGTGGGTCTGCTGCACACCCCGAGCCACTCCTCACACATTTCTCGAACATTTCCTGAGGCCGCACACTGAGCTGCAGACCCTGAGGTAACTCAAACTTGCCTCTTATTGACGTGCAGAATTCTCGAAAAAGGCCCTGTCATGGCCAGTAGGTTTCCAGGGACCCTGAGTTGTAACAGAGCCATAGCCACAGCTGTTCCGGGATTGTCTTCCAAGCTGGCCTGGGCAGGGGAGCCAGGATGGGGCTGGTGGCTCGGACGGCACCCTCTGCTTCCACAGTGACCTCAGGAGCCTTGGGCACTGGTGGGCGCAGAGCCGAGCAGGTGGGTTAAGTCTGCTGACAAAGCAGTGACTCATCCTGGGCACCTGGCGGAGATTCCAGCTTCCAGCCTCCCCCAGCTCCCTCTCAGAGCAGACCGATCCTGGGGTGGCCAGGGAGAGGCCTGGGGGTTTTCTGCTCCAGCTCTGGCCCCTGCCCAGGGAATCGCTAAGACACCATCTCCAGAGACCGAGCGAGGAGGTGTGGAGGGCTTCAAACCCAGGCGTCATGGGGCCGGCGTGGGCGCTCAGGGACAGTACCCAGCAGACACCCAAGGCTGTGACAGATGGCTCGAACCTGAGCTCTGCAGTGAGCAAAGGTGCTTGAGGCCACACTGGGGTTGGAGACAGCAGGGCTGAACGACAGGGGCCTCCCTCGCTCCCCTGTTTGGCATGGCCAACTCTCTTTTGTCCTGACCCTAGTTGCACCTGAGACCAGAATCGAGCCAGGAGCTGTGATCAGGGAATGAGGCCGGGGGTGGAGACTTCCCATTATAAGACGTTGCCCATCTGAGATGAGCTCCTTGGCTCAGCAAGTCAGCTTCCCTTGCAGGGTCTGCAAAGGATGGCAGCTCGCCCAATAGGGACTGTAACTGAAGGGGCACATAGGAGCCCCTGTAATTGGCATTTCAGGGAGATGAAACGACACTGTAAAAAGCCCTCTAGCTCCTACCTGATCAGCAACCCCAGAGTCCCTCCCCGTCCCCAGATCCAGTGGGAATTCTGAGTCAAATTTCTGATTGGTTAGGCTTGGGTCACCTGCTAGCCTGTAGGCCAGTCACTTACAGGATGGTTGCAGAGCCCTGATTGGCTGGCTCTGGGCCATGTGCCCCAATACATTCTTCCGCACCCTGTAGGCTGTACTGGAGTGAGGTCGTTTCTTCCCAATATGGAGTTGCAGACCATAGGGTCTGGGAGAGACTGGGATGGGCAGCAATCGACAGATGGCAGAACAACCCGTGTCCACTGCAGTTTTGAGCCGGAATGAGTAACGAATTGACAGTGATGTCGGTTTTCCAATGAGCCAGGCTACAGTGCCTGGCTGTCACTGGCTTTCTTAAGGCCTTGCCTTTGGAACAGACACATAATGGGTGGTAGGCAGGGGAGAATCTGTTGCAGTAGAAACACGTGTAAGCGGGGCAGGTGTTGCACGCCTGTAATCAGAAGGATGAGGCAGGAGGATCTCTGAGTTTGAGACCAGCCTGGGCTACATAGTTCCAGGTCAGTCTCAACTGCATAGTGAGACACTGTCTCAAAAAAAAAGAAATACATGTGCAAAACCGGCCCAGAGCCCTGGGGCAGTGGATAGATGGTGAGGCCCGGGAAGAAGTGATTTCCAACTCCCGGGTTGTCCCTGAGCTGTGTTTAATGGTGGCTTGTGTCAGAAGCGGGCCCTGGGCATCATGGCCTGTGAAATTAAAAGCTGCTGCTCCACTGGGCTTGTTGCCCGTGGTGTCTCAAGCCTCTCCCAGACAGGGAGAGGGCATTTCTCAGGGGACCCTTGGGGAGTAGGACAAAGGAGAGGGGGTGGTCTGGATCTCGGGGCTCCTGTGTGGCCGAGGCCAGACCTCTTGGTTGCCTGTTAAACTGAGGGTCTGAGGACAGGTCAGCTGCTATCACTCTTAGGAAATTGGAGCCCAGGGTCCTCCTGGACTCTGCAGGCAGGAGGGTGAGCCTGGGGTTGGAGAGAGCTAGGACAGAGAAGTACCCAGAGGGATGTCTCGACCTGTTGTGCCTTTTGTCAGCCATTCCGCCTGATGTCATGCACGTCAACATTTCCGAGTGCCCTTTGTTTACTTGGTGTTGCTCTAGGAATACAAACCCATGTAAAACCTCTTAGGTAACTCCTGTGGTGTAATCAGGCGTTGGCTGAGCGAGTGATCTATGTCCAGAAGCATCCCCTGGGCTGTAAAGAGAAGGGAAGGTGGTTAAGATCCAGTCCGTTTTTGTGATGTATAAGCCCGGTTGGAAGGTTTTAAAATGAATCCAGCCTGCTTACTAGGAGTTAAAACTTCAGTGTTGGACTGAAGATGGAGTTCATTTGTCGAGCACCTGTCTCTCATGTCCAGGCCCCAAGGTTTAATACCTAGCACCATAGAAGTAGCACAAAAATAGCTGGGCGTGGTGCCGCATGCCTGTAATCCCAGCACTAGGGAGGCTGAGGCAGGAGGACCACTGTGAGTTCGAGACCAGCCTGGGCTACATAGTGAGTTCCAGGTCAGTCTCAACTACATAGTGAGACCCTGTCTCAAGAAAAAAAAAAAAAAAAAATCAAATAAACAAGGGCTGATGATTTAGCTCAGTGGTTCCACCACCTGCTTTGAAAGTGCAGTGTCCTGAGTTTGATCCCTGGTACCAAAGCAACAGATACAAACAAAAATAAATAGTAGGGGGCTGGGGATTTAGCTCAGTGGTTTGGTGGCCTGCCTTGTAAGCGCAAGGACCCGAGTTCAATCCCCGGTACCAAAAATAAATAAATAAATAGTAGGGCTGGCAATTTAGCTCAGTGGCACTGTGCCTACCTCACAAGTGCAAGGTCCTGAGTTGGATCTCAGGTACCAATAATAAATAAATAAATAACAAAGGGTTGGGGAGTGTAGCTCAGTGTGAAGGTCCTGGGTACTGGTCCCCCAGTACCAAAAAATAAGATTGGCAGAAATTTAAAATGGGATCAGCAGTGTTGGTGAGGGTTTGGGGAACTAGGTACTCATGTACTGGTGATGGGAGTACAAATTGGGGTGGCAGTTTTGGAGTACGATGTAAGTCACATACCTGGTCCAGCCATCCTCCTGGTAGCCCCCATGGAGAAAGTGTCATTGTACTGGGGGACTTCACACGACGTCACAACAGCATTGAGAGGTGTAGGACAATTGTGGAAGAGCCAAGTAGATCAGGCCAGCACTACCTGTTGGAATATTGCTGGGTATTTAAGGAAGACAGGCGAGGTGACAGTCTTTAATCCCAGCACTTGGGAGTCTGAGGCAGGAGAGTCATGAGTTCAGGTCTGCCCTGGGTTAGTGAGACCGTCTCAAAAAGCAAACAGACAAAAAGAGAGAATGACAGATCTGTAGTTTCCAGAGGGCCTGGCAGTTAAGACGCGAGAGTAAGCCGTCAGATGATTTTACTTAAGTCTTAACACAGCGGCCCCTCACCCAACAGCGGGTTCTTGTGGTTCCCTCTTGTGAGAGGCTGGACCTGGAATCCCCTCTCCCTCTCTGCCCTGAGAGAGATCTGGAGTGACAAAGACTACTGTGCCCTTGGACATCCCTACTCCCTCTGGGATGGGCTTGGATCACAGGTCCCAGGGGAGCCAGGAGGCACTGCCTGACTCTGAGTCTGGGGTTGGAAGGGTAAAAGCTCGGAACCCAGCTCCTCCCCCACTTGGCTGCCACCTGTGTCTGGGTGGGGACCTAATCAGCCTCCATTCCTGTTGCACTGAGAGGGCCTTGAGCTGGGCGAGCCTTCGTTGTGCTATCAGGGACCCCACAGCTCCTGGAATGGGGAAAGGAAGTCAGCTGGGCGAGGGCAACAGAAATGAGCCTGGGCGTGTGCAGTCTGTCGTGCTTGTGCCTGCAGCTCTTTGTGCATGTGCACATGTGTGTTTATTCCACACCTTTATGGAGCAGCTGCCCAGATCCTGTTGTACAGATGCACTGGTGAACAGACCAGGTCCCCTGCCCTTCTGGGCTTCTGTATGTGTGGGACAGGACCTCTGACAGCAAATGAGCAACAGCAATACATGATGTCCGACCGTGTTAGCACTGCAAAGGAAGGGAAACAGGGATTCGACCTGGGGTGGGCCAAGGGGCTGCATTGGTCCCCATGGTCAGGGATGGTCTTTGGAGGAGATAAGGAGTGGTCTGAGCCAGGCAGGCCAAAGTCTCAGAGCAAAGCTGGATGTCGTGGTGCACACCTGTAATCCCAGTAATCGGGAGGCTGAGGCAGGAGGATGGCTTCAAATCTGAGGCCAGCATGGATTACTTAGTGAGATGCTCTCTCAACCTCTGCCCTACTCCAAAGTCCTAGAGTAGAGGACAGTAAAGACAAGCCCCTTTGGGCATCTTAAACAACAGACTTTTCTGCCTTGGTGCTGGAGGCCGGAAGTCCAGCGTCATAGAGCTGGTGGGGGGCTCGCTCCTTGCTTCCTTCAGCCACCTCGCTGTGCCCCGCGCTGTCGTTCCCTGTGTGTACGTGTCACACGCCTGCGGTGTCTCCCTCCTCGGAGGTACCAGTCACAGTGGATCAGGGTCCTGCCTTCGTGCCCTCCCTGCAGTCCATCTTTTAAGGCTCTGCCTGCAAATACTCACCTTTTAAGGAACCTGGGGGCTGTTCAGTCCCTAGCAGGCCTGCTGGGGCTGGGATATGTTCTGTTCTGGGCGCTGGAAGCCGACTTGTGGGTCGCTGGTGTAGGACAGACAGGGACGGCGGCGGGGTTGGGGCTCAGGTCCATTTCTACTCCTCGAGCTGCTCCCAGCCTGCAAGGTCGGAGGCAGAGATGAATTTCTCCCCCCTAAGCGCCTGTCCTCTCTTGTTTTCCTGAGAATTAAAGGCTGGTGGGTGTCACACCATTACGTGTCCACGTTCCTGTCGGGAGTAATGCTGACTTGGTGAGCCGCCCCTCACGGGCCCAGGTGTGGGGGTGGAGGGGCTGGTGGGACCGTGGCCCCAGGTCCGGGACAAAGAGGGCTGGAACCAGAGACCTCGGTTCAGCTTAGAATGGGGTTGGGGAAGAGGAACGTCCGTTTCACAGCACGCCCCACCCCTCTCTCCTTCCAGGCCTAATGGACTCATTTATCAGAAGTTTCGCAATCAGTTCTTAGCGTTTTCAATTTTCCAGAGTGAGTATCTGAGTCTGGCTTTGGGGTGGGAGACTGATCTCGGGGCTTTCACCACAGGGTCCCCAACAGGTACTGATGCTGTTACCCCGGTGGGTCCACCTCCTCCCTCAGCCCAGCACTGTGCAGAGGGACAAGAGCAGCCTTTAGGAGCTGTGTCCTTGTGTGGGTGCACTAGCCTCGTCTCTCGGTTTCTTTTTTCCTTC